ACCACCAGTATACCATCCTGCGCTTGGAGTGACTGGTTCTGGGCATCGACAAGTCGCATTTTTCCGTCATCACGTACTACGGAACCGGTTTGCTTCCCCTTTCGGATTGAACTGAACCTCTTTAAGGTTTTCTGGCCAAGCTGTGACGATTTCAGCGGCTTCAAGCTGGTCTCGGTCTAGCCGCTTGATCAGCAATGCCGCGGTGGGTCTCGGCGTCTGGAAACTGTTACTTTTTTACTCAAACTTTCTGACTCTTAACATTTACCTAGAGAGATGCCTGCTTGCCACACAATTCCACCGCACACATGTGCTTACGGACCCTTCATTCGCTAGTCGGAGGTCCAGTAAAGTCGGCTACTCCATTACAGTTCCTCCCTTGAGATCGTCTCTGGTCCTACCCCAAGCCCCAGAATGGGCACTAAAATCTCAGGTAAAATCCAGGACGGTCAGTGAGCGAGGTTGGCACCTGCGAACGCTGTTCGTCACCTCGTCTGGGTACGCCTAGTAATCGGCAAGGGACCTATTGGCAGAGATGTAGTAGCCGATAACCGATTATGGCCAGGAGCGCAAGGTGGGACACCTCTCAGCAATGTTGCCTGTGACCTACCTAAGAATATAAGCACGGTGTGTTCGTCTATAAGTGGTTGTACATAGCAAAGCCTATTATTGATACGGCAGTCGTAAATATTGTCTTACCACAGTTTAAAGAGAGTCGAACAGTTGGAAATCGAATATTTTTGTGCAGAGCAACGGCGGGGAAAGGGCGCCTTGCGGAGCAGAGGGCGGCGCGAACTTGTGCCGTCTCCACCAAGTCTGCTGTACAATACATGCGGTTGCCGCGAGCGATTTTTATGGTACTTATTTAACTAACTTTAAGTCCAGTTTTCGTAAAATAGTTTATTATTATTATTATTTGCCTTTAATAGTCAATTACTATTGTTGAATACAAATGGCGGCCATGCTTATGGTTCCATCATTTTTGTCATAAAATTGTTTATCCAAATGCGAATACACTACATAATTATATTTAACATCGAAAACTAAAAACATCTATGAAAAGAAAGTGTCACGAAAATATTCGCCAGTGCAACACTAACTAGTAAATACTTAGTATATTTTTTCTTGTAGTAATAAAAATTATCTTATTGAATAAATGTTTGTAACTTTTATATTCCCAATTTCGTGACAGAACCTAGCACATCTGCGACGGCGGCATCGCCTGACTTCAAAGGTGTTTCACAACGGTTGGCTCAGGTCTTATGTAACAATGTAACAACTGTTGATGAAGCTTATCAATTTATGGAGTGTAGAAGTAAGGAGTACAGACTGTGTATTAAAAAGTGTCCATAGAAAACTGTTAAATAAGGGTGGCGCCACTATAGCTACGGGCTAAATTTTAAAGAACGTGCCGAAAAATATTAGTGGGATAGACGACTTTTTTGAGGTTATATTTACTAAATAAAATTATTTTAGATTTTAGAGCTACTGAGCAGTTTAGCAGCACACTTCAAACCGTCGACAACTGCTTCATGTGTTGAAAATACTTCATCCCAGTAGCTACTCCAGCGCTGTTGTGGAGTTTTTTGAACTGTTATTTACTGCTTACAGATGGCCACTTTTTCAACTATTCTACTATGGGAGTTGGTACTCCTTACTTCTACACTCCATATTATCAATTGTTTAAATTTTTTATATTTTCTGACACCCGTACTGTGGATTGAACTCGAAAAAAGCCAGCTTTAAGTGGCACATTTCGATGCCTTCAATTTATCTCAAATTATAAATGAAACAAATCTTTATATATTGTGCAAAAATATCAGGGTATATTTTTCCAATACAATTAAATTTATTATCATTTTACTAATAAATCATTTCATATATCACTAACAGTCATCCAATTTAATATTGCGACTACACATTAACAGGTAAAAAAGGCACTCTTTCTAGTTATAAATAATATTTTTTTATATATGTCACTTATTTTACACTATAAATACATTTTTAATTCTTATGCATTATACATATCAAGTAATACGGTACTCAAATTAAATAATATATAATATCCACTTATCTAGCTTGTGATTGCGATAATATATACAAAACAGAATCCTGCTTTTAAACAATAAGGCACCTAAAATATGAGCAATGGCTAGGTTAAATTATATTATCAAAAGTGCATTCAATTTGTGCTTTGTACTGGGCAGACATAATGAATAATTATTAAGTCATGCGTACGCTTTATGTATAATCGAGTGTAAATAAAAATTCATTTAATTTCAAGAATTTTGTCACTTTATAGATTTTAAGTGACTAAAAAGAATTAAAATTAAGCTCTATTACACTTACAATATTATCTATTTTAGGGAAGCATAAAACTTACGTAACATATGTCACCTCAAAATTCTATTATATACTGCACTGGAATATAAATATAATTTTTGCTGATTAAATTAAGATAAAGTGCAGTCATGGCAGTTTTTATTAATATTAAATTAGTATAAAAAGACAAGTTAGTTGATCAAAAAAGCGTACGAGTACTCTATCATAAATTGTATAAAATACAATAATAACAAAACAGCTTGCGAATTAATTTAAAGAAGTATAAAATTATTATGTACTATTACTACAACCATAAGTGTCAGTGATCACCTCCAATAGATACCGTACATTACAGGAATTTTGTTCAGATTACTCACCAAATTTTAAGCAAAACTCAAGCTACGGGCACAAAAACGAAAACGTGATAGGCTACTTTGAAAGGTGAAACTAGAAATGTAGCGGACGATTACTTATGGTAGAAATAAGACAAATCAACATTAACTTATCGATATTCTTACAATATCGACGATAAAACTATTTTTTGTTAAATAGAATAAGGGTGACAAACGAGCACACAGTCCACCTGATGGTGAGTGGATGCTGTAGCCATCTACATTTATCTTCGATTGAGAATCAAAATGCAAATGCGTTGTCACCCCTGAGGACTAAGCCTAATGGAATGCCTCGTTTCCAGTAAAAAAAGGGTCTCCGGATCTCTACACTCGCCATACGAAATTCTGTGAAAGCGTGGTCCATTTGTGTGACCCGTGGACCCATACGTGCTACAACCATAATATAGCTGCAGCGTGACTCTATCACATATGAAATATATAATATATTATATGTAATAGAAAAAAATTGTACCGCTTTTTAAGCATATTGAGCACGCACGGAGGAGTGTAGGATTTGGCTTAGTTAAAATATTAATGAAAAGAATGGGAAAAAAATATACTGAATATGTGTTACAATCACATTAAATAAGATTTTTTAAATTAAGGCTTCTCTTAATTGAATTCTGCCAGTGTCAAGTAAATAATACAATAAGAGTTCTCAATTTTTCGAGTTGATTCATAATCTACAACAAAAGATGTCACATTTTCAAATACTGCCATCGAAATCGGTTAGCAATTTTACAGTTTAACATTATTAGTACTAATAAAATCACACAAAATATTTACAAAGGGAGTATACATTAGGGGTAGCAAACATGAGTGAATTTCCAGGACGTGGGACATAATTGATTGAACAAATGATTGACAGATCTTTCGTCTAGCCCACATTTATAGACAGAGCTTTCCCTAATCCTGATTTAAGCAGTGTACTGGAATACAAGCATGACCAAAACTGAGGCGGGAAAATGTGCAGGTGATAGATATACTAGTGGCGATATTTAAAAAACCAGGATTTTGATGGGATATTAATTTTGACATTGGAATAGTGTATACAATATTATAGAGTGATGCCAATTACTTTGCCATGAAGACAGTAGGCTAGACCTTGCCTTTGGCAGGAGGTCAAATGCATAGATATTGTTTATGTTCATACTATCAATGTTTAAATACAATTGTCCCATGGACCAATTATGTCATTTACTGACGTTCATACTGCCAATGTTTACAAAAACAAAACTTTAAAAGAAACATACCAAGCGGATGTCACAATTATTTCAATATATATTACTCGAATTTATATACGTAAAAGATAAATTATATTCACACAAAAACTTTCATTACAATTTTATAATAACACTACTATGTATGTTTTATAACAACACTAGATGGCGTACGAAATGAACGTAGATTATAAATAAATATCCATAAACTAACTCTCTTTTTATTCCACGAGGATAATTTCATATTGATTCTATAATGCCAAATTTCTTCGTAGAAAAGTAATCCCTAAACATAAAAGGGTTGAAGTGCTGTGGGTTGGTGCGGTATCGAAGCGGTCAAATTTGGACGCTTGCCGTTTGAGAGGTTAATGTGCAGTTAAAGCGAAATACAGCTTGGATTATATACAAACCTAAAAATTTAATGAATTTACAAATGTACGGGTGGTTGATATAATACTGTATAATAAAAAAATATTTTACTAGATACACATTGTTATAAAAATATTTTACTAAATACACAAAATTAAATACATTTTGTTGAGTTTTCTTTCTTAATTGAAAATGTCGATATTATGCTCGAAATGTGAATTGACTTTTTTGTGTTTAAATTTCTGATAAGTTACTACATTGTTTCACTGAAAATGTAATCATTATGTGAAATATTCATGAACCAATAGGTGTACACAGGTCGGACACTTGTTCGAAACAAAAGCCTTGATTTGGAGCGACGGTCCCCATTGGTGCATTAGCACGCGTGGTGCGCGGCTGTTATCTTGAATGCGGATCTATTAGGGATGATCAGTGTGTTAAGAGAACCTTATTTTATTTAGCCCATTTTATATTCGTATGGTTATAATTTAAATGGTGAATTTTGACCTCACGTTATATTCAAAAAAGTACCAATTTGTCATGTTCCCTGTTCACTATCAGTCTCATACATATTACTCTGTTTGACCTTTTAAAATAGGACGAAATACTTAGTAATGTAAAGGCAGTAATTGAATACAATTGCTGTCGGCGATTTATATAAACAAACAAAAATAAACAAAACAAATAAACTGTTACTGTATCATTCGACGGCGAATCCAGCAGTTTCAAGGACAGCTTGCTTGAGCTTATCGTGCATTTTTTCCTTAGTCGGATAAGGCGGTAAATCGAGTCGGTTAAAGCAAGTGTGCGCCTTGGGAAGAGAGTCTGGAGATGCGTCGGCAACTAAATGTAATGTAAAGAGTTTTGGAGCGGCCGCACCCGTGGAGCCCTGTAGAGCTCTAAATCCAGCGAGTGGGACTCTTCTTGAGCCAGTGACGAACTGCAACAGTCTGGCGCGCATTTCCGCGTCGAATTCTTCAACTATCTCCCAGAACCAATTCACTATGGGCGCATCGGGTGTAACATGTTTGAGTCGGGTGTGCCGTCGCCAGTCGACAGGGTCCAAGTCTGCTCTTCCAGCAAGTAAGGGTTGCAGGTCTCGTGGTGACAACGGGCGGAGTAGTTGCGGTGGAATGATATCGGCGAGACCCCGTTGCAGAGCTAGCCATTGTCGCTCAGCTCCACGCGTGAATCTGTGCGCTACGTATAAACGTACGTAGTCCCGTTTATTAGCGTCAGTTACTTGTTCGTTGGTCCCACCGGGCCGAAGCTCCACGCTTCGTACCGCACCAAATGATGCACATTCCACTGAGAATGTCGTATCTATTACACCCGCGATACTATTTTCTCTGAAATTATAAAATAACGATATAATTATTTTTATCTTTATAATAATAATAGTCTATCAAAAGTCCGCTACAACATTTTTGATAGGCTTAATTTTCTCTAAAGTATTCCTCAATATGAGTACATTAATATGTTCAATGGATGGCCAATGACTTCAGTTTCACCTTGTAGATATGATTATAGAAGTATCACACAACACAAACATGTAATGCTCACTCGCAAATTTCTAGCACTATTTTATTATCGTTAATAATTTAAAATTCTGAATTCAAGTGATTGAATGTTCAACTTTTCTGTGTTTATATCATTATTACAAAATGCTGCTGTTACGTATGGCGAATGAAAAGAATCAAAGACCCACTTTAGACTACAGAGGTGACATAGCATTCCGCACTTTGATTCCTTATCAAGGATTAATACAGATGTCTATTGGCAACAGCATCGAATTACCATCAGTTCGACAGTGTGATTGTTTGCCACCCTTACTGCTACAAAAAAGTAATTAATAACAGATAATATCACTAATGTATATTGTACATATTACATAAATAGATACACACTTTTCTCTTCATTTTGTAAGGGTTTTAGGGCAAGGAATTTTTTTATTTCCAATATATGCAACAGCATGCATTTAATATGTGATAGAGACATGCTGTAGCTATATTATGGTTGTAGCACGAATGGGTCGGCTGGACCAGGGAAGGTTCATGCTCTCACAGAATACAAGCGTAAAATAGCAGGTTAATGCTGCTGTGTTTTGTATGGTGAATGTAGAGAACCAGAGCCTTCTTTTCACTGATAAGACATTTCATCTTAGGCCTCAGGGGTGACAACAATGTTTTACTTTACCAACGTGTACATGGTGAATCTGCACTTAAAACTGCAATTAACAATTCATTGGTGCTTGCGGGGATAGAACCCGGGTTGCTCGCGTAAATATTTAGGGCGACCACTATACCCCTGAACTACCATAGCTATCATAATATCATGTGTTTCTTGTTATTTTAAGCACATGGTAAATCATTTTAAATAGCAATTAAGAACTTCAGTGGTACCAGTTCAAGCTGATTGCTCGCTTCCTATGAAATTTACTGTGATCTTACTACCTGAAATACCATGGCTCCCATAATACGTAGCTTATTGATTCCTTAAAAAAGATATTAAAAGTTATTTGATTTTATTCAATTGGTTTACGCCAACGCCTTATTTAATTATTGAGCCGTGGTAGCGCGAGCAACCCAGTTGTGAATCTCGCCGGCACCATTAAATTGTTAATTGTAATTTCAAGTACTGCTTTACCACATGTTCGGTGTTGAAGTAAAACATCGTGAGGAAACCTGGACGTCAATGAAATATAAATACATCGAAGCCATGTGAAGTCCGCCAAAACGCATTAGGGCAGGGTGGCGGACACATCCATGGCTTAAAACCCTCTCAGTAGAGAGAGCCTGTGCTTAGCAGTGGGACGAATATAGGCTGTAACATTAGTTTTTACTTTAATTATTTTATTAAAAACAGTTCATTAATAGAGCTACACATTTATTCTCATCAATTAAATTTCTGTATTATTTATTTTTTATTTAGTGCATATAGAAATAAAACTTACAGCATCCAAGACAAAGAACGATGCAACTCGGGATCAACGTCTCGAATATCCCTTAGAGTAATGGGTCGTCCAAGCAGCTGCTTGTAGAAAGGCGCAGTGAACGCCGCGTCTAATTGGTGGCCGTGGAACAGCGCCACACCCAGGATACGTCCCGCAAAATGAAAGTACGAGAGATGCTCGGGATTCACCTAGATAAAATAATTGATTGATTCACTATCAACAAAAATCACCATCATCACCATATAAAAATATATTGTCTATTGAAAAGATTTTATAGCTTAAAATAGATGGCAGTACAATCATCTTGTTTATGCCAAACATAGAAAGCCCAGATTGGTGACGCAGAGCAATGTTGAATATTCGAGATATTTGATGCTTCCCCATCATCCACCTGCCTGACAAGCATGATAATTAAGACAAATTATTCCTTCAAAGGGAGGGCCATGTGTATATAATTACTTGAATGTAAAGCCAGATATTTTAAATTGTGATTTTAAAGTATGATTAACATAATAAAAGACAACTATATACAACTTACTCCAGAATCTGGATTAATTTGCAGTGCATATCTGTCATCCCCAGCATTCGCATATTGAAACAGCCCATAATGTGGGTTAAAGAGCTCGCGCCCTAGCAGATGAAGCCATTCTCTTGCCACACCACCGTAGTCAAGACCCTCTTCGCCGCGGAACTTCACTAACAGTCGCTTCCGCAGTTCCTTGCCACGCAACTTCATCACTAGACGGTACGATTCTTCTAGTACTTCATTGCGCGAAACCTGTTGGTTATAAGTAAAATAGTAATATGAACAAAACTAATATACATATATTTAAGAGACAGGGGATTACCGATACTTTGAGTGCTTTGCACCACACATTGTTGAGTGAGAAAAAATCTAAATAAAAATATCCATAAATATCCATCGTTTTTAATTAATGTGTAATATTCGCGTTAAACCCTTAATCTAAATTTTATTTTAAAAATAATCTACATTGGCGGTTTATGAATATCCACTACCCCAATCCTATATCATCCCGTGAGTGCGAATAGGGACGATTAAGGGATAAAAACCAGGAGATGGGTAGATGGGAGACAGGCAGCATCTTCTTATTCTTCTTAATAACAACTGAAAATAAAAAAGCAGCAGTTGACAGCGGGTAGTGTGTCAACTATGGCAAATAAATTGCAAATGTATTAAATTGTGACGGTAATGGCAATTTTGTTATAAAAATTCATTACCTTAATTGGTGACAATCATATTGGTTATACAGGTTTTAAAACAACATTACCTCTACACTAGGATTTTCTCCTGTATTGTTGACAGTTTACATACAAAAATGTCACAAGGACAAACATCCAGATACGGAATAATTATTATTTATAGGCCCTTAGCGCCCTCAGCACTGCAACTCATTGCTAAGCCACGGCACCACGGAGCCACAATGTAACTATTACTAACAGTAACCGTTGGCAAATACTATAGAAAACCTACGGTATAATACATGCAGCTCCACTCAAAACTTGGCAATCATGTACACTAGCGCCTCTAGTGGCATGAGTAGTTGAATTTAGTTTACAACCTTGTACATAGTTGCGCGGTTAACATTACTTGTATTATTTTACTTATTACATAAGTAATTAAAACATTTCTGCAAAACCTAGCTTTTCACGTGGTTCAATTTGTGCTGTATATGGTTGCAACAATTATAAACAACTAAACGACCCAAAATCATTCTTTAGAATGCCCAAAGTTTTGGAGAGGTTAGTTGTATGAAATTTTGTTAAACAAATGTGATAGTAGGCTTGTAATATTTCGTTTGTTGTACTTATTAATAAATTTCTTTTTAGATTGAAGCAATGGATTGTGGCTTGTAAAAAAACTGACCTGGATAATTTGATGAAAATTAAAGATGCTGATTATTTTTCCAACAATTATGTTGTTTGTTCAGATCATTTTGATGAATGTTTTCGAAATAAAGATTTATATAGTCAGGAGTATGTTGTCAATATTTAGATGGCATAATATTTATGTAATGAATGTGTTTTTTCCACACTAATATGTGCAGATGTACCTATAAAAAGTATAATTTTTTAGGTTAATTCCAGGTTGAGTACCAACCTTGAAGTTGTATAATAAGAAAAATATAATAAGTAAAGAGAAGATGTCTACGTGAAATAAATTTAGACTGTTCAATAAGATAAACTTTCTGTCTTACCCATACCCAAATTTTAACATTTCCATTATTATGGTTGTAAGGATTTAGTAAGAAACTACATAGTATGTGTGCCTTTTTTGTTGCAGTTCTAAACAGATCAAATTGAACTCGGTAGACCCGATATTGGAGACCCAAGAACAACATGAAAACAATACCTAATGTTGCAAATTTGCAGACAGAAATCCTAAAGTTACATCTTGTTATAGATAATTATAAGAAAACTAATTTAATACCTCTAGTTTATTATCAAAATATAAGAAAAAATGTAAAAGTTTAAGCTCTAGCTGTGTATAAAAATAAGTGAATTTCTTTTGCAAAGAGAGCAAATCGAGCGAAAACAAAGTTTTAACCAAGCACATTATCCTGTTAGTATTTCTGAAAAGAATTCAGAATAGGTACTATGTTTTAGGTTGGGTATATAGTTCACTGCCACATGATAAATGTAAAAAGTTTTTATGTAGCCTAGATAATGATTATAGCTTAGAAAATAGACAAATAGAATTGCCAAGAGAGTTTTAGACATTATCAACAAAATTTTCAAAGAAAATATAGACAATTACTTAAAAAATTCTGTAAACAATTTTAAAAGTAGATTAATTTTAAATGTATATGGACAAAATATTTCTAAATGCGATGAATGTATAATATTATTTTTAGACAAGTGTTTCAACGTTCTGCTAAAATCATACGTAAATAAGTTGAATGAGTCACGCAGTAGATAGGAAACTTGAAAATTATGATTTCTTAAATTTACGCGAACACTACACATTGAATAAAACTAAATTTACGGACTTTATCGCGTTAAAATCCGTAAATTTAGTTTTATTCAACTTGAAAATTAAAGAAAATTTCACATTCCTAATGTATTTAGTTTTATTTTAAAACCCCCAAGAAATCTTCAGAAACTATAATCTACGTTTTGTTTCTAGTACAGTGTAAAATTGTACAAAATTTTCAAATTCTGTTAAAAACTACGTACAAATAAAGATTTTTGCATAGTTCATAACTTTTTCACCAACTCGCGCCACTAGAGTGCTATTTTGAAAGTTGCCATTCCAATGTATAGAAACTGTCGAGAGCTGCACGTGTTAATCCGTAATTATAAAGTCCGGTTTTATAAAGTATTTGCCGCCGGTCATCGAAAGCGTCCAGGCAGGGCAATCGTGAGGTGCGGGGCGGGGCGAGACGCGGGCTGAGCGGGAAAGCTAGTGAAGCCGCTAAGGTTGTCCTGTGACGTAAATAAATTAAAATAAAGTAAAAAAATATGGGTCGTCCTCATTTGAAGATTAGGAATTAAAGTTTCATCAGTTTCCACATACATAGGAGTTAGTTTAAATGTCGTCAGTCTTTTATTTTTTTACCACTTCCCGTTCTGACAACCCTAGAAATTTAAAAACCATAGAAACTCATTTTTGCGGACAGAAAAATAATTGAAAAATGGCGGGAAAGTGTTTTTTATTTCTTATTTTTCTTTTTCTTAATGTCCTATATGTACTAAGATTAAAACCAGTCTGATACAAATAGTACAACCAACCTTTTATACAAACAAATATGAAGAAACTTTTTCCTCCGCCCATTATTATATTAATAGGCTAGTGTGAAAGTGAAGTTACAATTTAATAATAATTCAATAATTTAGTTTTTTAAATAACGATGGTGTGTGTTTTAGTGCCAATGGAAGTTCATTTCTGAGTATGTGAGCATTCCGATGAAGTCGTATTGGCTACCACTTGAGCTTAGTACGAAAAAGAAAGACATGGTCATATTTGCGCAATCCACTCAAGTTTATCAAGCTGAGCTTCGTTAAGATCTAGATAGCTAAAGTCTGCATAGTCAAAAATATGGAAGAGGAGAGACTTAGCAAGCATAGTTTTGGTGGAAATGGTAAGAAAGTTACGTAATCTATGCAAGGAGGCTGCAGAGGCATAAACTTTACGATAAAATTCCTATAATGTGCTTTACCCACGACAGATTCTTATCAATGTGGATTCCCAAGTTCTTTGCTGAATATCTGTAAGGAATAATAGTTTTACCAAATACTATATGAGTCAGGTAATCAAGGCTCAACTTAAGCAACATTTGCTCGCTGCCTACGATAATGCCTTTCGATTTTGCTGGGTCAACGTGACATGTACAAGTATAGGAATCGCCGCAACACGATGTGTAGATGCGGAACGACGTCACATTCATAAGACAATTGATGAATCTGATCCTAATAAGGTTTGGAAATTTCTCAAAAGCTTGGGAATTGGTAAGAAGCAAAATGACTCCCTTCCTCCTGATTTAAACATTGAAATGCTTAATCAGCACTTTTCCTCAAGTTCTAGTCACGTTAACAGTTGTAAATCTAGAACCTTAAATCACCTTCATTCTTAGCCAACTCCCGATTTCTCTGAATTTGTTCTACGTCAGTTTGCTGACTGTCACGTTAAAAAGAATATCACAGATGTAACTTCTAATGCAACTGGTAGTGATAATGTCAGCCGAAACATGATTCTCCCGCTATTAGATATCTTGACTCCTATCATAACTAAAATTTTCAACAACTCTATAAATACATGTACTTTTCCTACATTATGGAAAGATGTACAAATTATTCCATTACCCAAGAAATCTAATCCCAAGTCCTTCTGTGATTATCGTCCTATTTCCATATTACCTTTTCTTTCTAAAATTCTTGAGCATCTTGTTCATCAGCAACTTAGTCTATTTTTGAATCTAAATAGCCTCTTAAATACATTCCAATCAGGTTTTCGCCCTGATCATAACACCGTCACTGCTTTGGTTAAAATCACAGACGACATTCGAGCAGGAATGGAGAATCGGCAAGTTACTATTCTTACTCTTCTTGATTTTAGCAATGCTTTCAACACAGTCGATTTCGACATACTTCTAGCTGCGCTCCGTTCTATTAACGTATCCCCAGCAGCAACTGACTGGTTTCGTAGTTTCTTGTTTGGATGCCGTCAATGCATCCGTATTGAAGACACTTATGGTGGTGGTGGTGTTCTCTAGATGCAGGCGTACCACAGGGTGGCGTGTTGTCTCCTCTCCTTTTCTCAATTTTCATACGCTCTATTACTTCAGGAATTTCTTCGCTCTACCATCTTTATGCAGACGATCTCCAAATATATTCTCAAACAAGTATTGAAAATCTTCCATCCGCTGTGCTATCCATAAATCGAGATCTCACAATTATTTCTGAATTTTGCACATCTTATGGAATCAAGGTTAACCCTAGTAAAACGCAGGTAATAGTGATAGGTAGCAGCAAACTACTACAAAAAATTACATGGCACACGCTGCCCTTTGTTTGTTTTGAGAATTCTGTTATTCCTTATAGTAAGGTTGTAAAAATTCTAGGGGTTCTAATTGACAGTACAATGTCTTGGGCACCTCAAATTGAACAGATAAGCAAGAAAATGTTTGCAGCTTATGGAAGTCTTAAGAGACTGAAATTTCCTGCCCATTTGTACCAAAATTGCGTTAGCACATTCCATTTTGTTACCTATTTTAGACTATGCTGACAAATGCTACACTGATATTACTATGGAGCAATTAAACAAGCTTGAGCGTCTTCAGAATTTATCCATTCGATTCATATTTGGTTTACGCAAATATGATCATGTATCCCAATTTCGAAATCAACTCGAGTGGTTCCCTATTCGCCTTCGCCGGAATTTTTATATACTCTCTTTACTTTTTTGTGTACTGTTTGATCCGAAATCTCCAAGGTACCTTAAGGAACAATTTCACTATCGACATGAATTTCATAACCGCAATTTGCGTTCAGTGTATAATGGCTTTAAATACTCCTTACAACGTAACTTCATTTTATAATAAATCATTTACTTCACTAGCAACGCGACTTTGGAATTCATTACCACTTAACATTCAGAAAGCGCAATCTTTACAGTCTTTTAAAAAACTACTTAAGGAGTATTATTTGAAGTTCCCGTCATAATAATAAATTATAATATGTATTTTCCTCTTTTCATAAATATGTATATATCTGTATATATATATATATATATATATATATATATATATATATATGCATATATATATAATCATTAAATATTGTATATATTTTTAATATATTTTTATAAATATTATTTTTAATAATATTTTTTTTCCTGTTTATTTCATATTGCACGTTGCACCTATCGGTCAAAATATAAAATTATAATGTCCTTTTTTTTATGTTCGGTTTGTCAGGCAGAAATCGCTTAAAGCGATATGAGCGCCGTTTGTAGTCATAAGTTTTCCGTTATTGTAATAACTTTGTTCAAATGCAATAAAGAGTTATATATCTATCTATCTATACAGATAAGCTAACTTTTTTAACTCTGCTTTATGTCAGGACATATTTATCTATATTCATTTCTATTAGTACTATTTTCTATACAATAAAGATTACTCAGTCAGTTTTTGGACGGCTGTCCTGGCATTGAATAGGCATTGGTATTTAGGTATTCACTAAAGAAAACTTAGTTCAAACTCATTGACAACTTCCCATATCCTTCCATGTGTTTACTTTATGTCGCGCGGGTCGTGTATTAGGTGGAAGGACTGCTTTCCACCAGGAATATGTCTGGGCAGATATAGGTCGCGTCACGGTTTAATAGCGATGACCTTGAATGCGCAGAAGTCGATTTTTAGATCTGTTTAGCGAAAGGAGTGAGGCGCGAAGAGAGAGACGCTCGGTACCGGCGTTCTATTGGTAGCTCAGTCGCCTTCCTCACGCCTTGCTCCGTTCATACGTCGCTAAGCCCTTGGAGTACAGTCGCACATATCATTGTTTCTATGGTTTGATAATCACATTTTCATTTTTAGTGTTGAAAGATGCCGACAAAAAAGTGTTAACTAGGAAAGCTAGGAAAATGGTGTGTGTCGTGAATTATTTTATTAAAAAAAAAAAACAACTTAAATTATTGGTAATTTGAAAGAGGTAAAAAACACAACAGCAAGACCAATTTTTAAACTACAAAAAACTTGGGATGAACCATTAAAAGCTTACACCACATTAAAAATCGGACAGCTAGTGATGCTGATAAAATAATATTGGTTGGAATTTGCAAACAATTAGAGCAAATCCGAGAGGAAACTGGAGAAACTAGTATAACAAATCCATCGATTCCAGTAAAAAGACCTTTTTAACTGGAATCGAGGCATTCCATCTTGGTCCTCACGGGTGACAACGCATCTGCATTTTGATTCGTAATCGAGGATAGATGTAGATGTCCATGGGCCACAGCAGCCACTTACCATCAGGTGGACTGTGTGCTCGTTTGTCATCCTTATTCTTTATAAAAAAAAAAAACTTCTACAAATAAAGTTGAAGTTACAGCCTATATATCTCTTTTACTTCTCACTTCTAGGTGAGTTTTAGGGTAAGGTACTTATATTAAGAAAGTTAATAAATGTTGGCTTCACTTAAGTGACGTGCAGAGAACCAACATTTATTAACCAGCTTGGTCGACTGGCTTCCCTCAAGGCTGCTGACTAAAAATAGCGTCCGTCAGGCTTCCCCACTGATTGTTGGCGGACTTTATGTCTTCGAAATAATATTTTTTTATTTCTTAGACACGCAGATTTCATGACGATATTTTCTTTTACCGCCGAGAATTTGGTAATTTCATTGGTGCCGACGGGCATCAAACCCGGGTAGGTTCGCGTACTGTGAAAATTACGGCGAACGCTAACACCCTGAGCTACCATGGCTCTATTTTTCTATGTCGTAAATAAAATACCTCGATTCGGCAGTGTCCGGTCTGCGGCTGCAGCGCCTGCAGCTCCGCGCGCAGCACCCGCGCTTTGGCGGCCAGGTCGCGCTTGTACTTGGGCAGCGCGTCGGGCTCCGCGTCGCCAGCAGGTGCCGGCGCCGCGGGTGACGTCTGCCCGCCGCTACCGCTGCTTGGCGACGAAGGCACTGGACTCGCCTCCGCTATGGGCTGCAACATTGAAATACAACATGAATATTCCTATTCAATAAACATTATTAAATAATACGTATTAAAAGCCATTCCGTATTACTGATGTCCTCCAAACCGAATTTCGGTTACAGTGGCACAAACACTGGTGTACTTTCCTCTCACTCATATTCCTATAGCATTGAGATTGTTACTGAGAATTTCTTGCCCAAAACCATTAACTGATCTTTTGGTATGACTGCTTTATTGGTCTAATGGTGATTTTACTAAGAATATAAAAAATATTGTACAATCAATAATACAAATTGTTATAGAACATTTTTAGTAGCAATAATCACTTGATGCAATACACATACACATTCTCATAAGTTTATCAGATACTAAAATTTATTTTATTTGGCCCCTGATAATAGAAACAGAAACTTTTTTATTCAATGTAGATTATAACAATACTTATTGAAAGTCACTTTTTTCATTTACCACTGGTTCGCAAAAAAAACCTCTGTCCTGGGAGGAACCAGCAAGAAACCCAGCGGGACTATTTTTTTTTCCAATAATAGCTTACAATAATGTTTACAATAAACAACACAAGACAAATTAGAAATAGCTTGGTAGCGATCACCCCTTCCCAGGGGTTATTATCATCCATAAATTCCTTAATATTATAATAACCCTTTTTATACAAACTTAGTTTAATAACATTTTTGAACTTTGCGTATGACAAATTTTGTATATTTTCTGGGATTTTGTTGTAAAAGCGTATACATCGCCCCAAGAATGAATTACTGACTCGGTGGAGTCGAGTTAACTGGTTACTACTAGCTTGTGTCTGTTCGTAGTATTTACAGAATGAATATCACTTATTTTCGCAAAACTACTTTTATTTTTGTGTATGTACAATAAATTTTCATAAATGTATTGAAAGGCCAGAGTAATTATATTAATTTCCTTAAATTTTTGTCTCAGTGACTCTTTTGGTTTTAAATTATATATTACTCTAATGGCCCTCTTCCGTAAAATAAATATAATTTTTCAACAACACAATCGAAGGCTTTGGATAGGTCACAGAATACACCCAAAGCATCCTGTGAATTCTCCCATGCATTAAATATAAATTTAATCAGCTCAACACCAGCATCAGTTGTCGAGCGACCCCTTGTGAAACCAAATTGATTTTTATGAAGTAAATTATTTACATTAAAAAAATTTAACATTTGATCAAGAATAATTTTTTCAAAAATTTTATTAAGTGTTGGCAGTACAGAAATAGGTCTAAAATTAGCGGGGTCCAATGTACTGCCAGATTTAAATAAAGGTATTACTTTACTATGCTTCATTAAATCAGGAAACACACCAGATTCGATACTAGTATTAAAAATAATAGATAGTTGAGGTGCGATTGTATCTATTATAGACGCAATTTACTCTGTGGCAACCCCAATGACATGTTGTAAAATAATAGCTCCCAACTATTTTATAAAATTAAATATTGTAAATTGTTAATATCCACCTCAATTTCTAGTTACAGTTGTTAAATAATACTTAATTGTGTTTGTAAAATAAATAAAAGTCATAAGTATTTTAATTAAATAGTGTTTTATGTTTCAACTAAAAGTGACAGCTGTAACGTACATCGCTTGAACTTTCTGTAAGTTAGTGTAATTCTTGTTATCCCTTCAATATTTTAAGATTTACCTTTTAAATAAATGCTGTTTCGGATTTCAATTTGAATTATTTACCTGATAATTTAATTTGAGATCTGTAAGTAGACCCATAGATCTAGATATTAGCTTACTCTGTTTCTTCGGTTTTTTTTCTTTGTTTTCTTTTGCTATTTACACATAATAGTAAAATGAATACACGCAACGCCAAAACGCGCCAAATGGAGAACCAACTTCAAATGGCGCTTCTGGAACTTAAGGCGTCAAAGGAGCAGTGTGAGTTGTTGCTTAAAGGGATGACAACGAAAAGGAAATAATAAATATAATTGCCAAAAATACTCAACTAAAAAGTGATATGGTTAAGTTGCATAAAGACTATACAAATGTTTTAAAAGAAAGGGACACTCAAAACATCGATTTGACGGATGCAGCAAGGAATATGAGGAATCCCTCAGATTAATTGCTGCATTGCAGTTACAGATAAGTGAGGCTAATGAGCAAATTGTGCAATTAAAACAATACTCAGATGAATTGAAAGTGTTCCAAACTCGAAAGTCTGTTCAATGAGCTCATAGAATGTAAATCTTCAAAAACATTGCAACCCTCCACAACGATCAATTTGAGTGGTGATGATTTTGTCACATCAAGAACAGCAGAAAGGATTACATGCAGTAGAAGAAAATTAAAGAAATACATAAAAATTAATAAATATGTTAGGAAAGTGCAAAAGTTAATTAAAACTAAAATTAATATAAAAAATTATGTAAATATATGTAAGGAAAAGCATGAATTAATTAATAAACTTAAATTATATTCAATTGAGGTGGAAAATATGAAAAACTGTTATGAGACTGAAATAGTGTCTTAATTCAGAAGTTTTGTCGCTTAAAAACTCCTTACAAATTATCTCAAATAAATATGCATCGGCTCAAGTTGAAATAAAAGAACACATATTGGCCATGAATGATCTGGTAAAGTCATGTAAATACTATGAGGAGCGCTTTGACTCCGTAATAAAACATCAGAGTGAGAATCAGCGCTCCAGACCATTTTCATCGAGGGCAATATGTGTAAATAGTGACTCCTTATTGTCACCCACACTCTATGACAGTGCCATAACAAAGAATAAAAACTTAAAAAGTAATTTAAATATTAAAAAACATGAAGTTATTATGTATTGTGATGACATAGATAAAAATTTGGGCATGATGTTAAATAACCATTTAAAAGGACAGGTAATTAGTAATTATTGTATGCCTGGAGCATCCTTTAGTCATATAATGAATAAAATTTTAACTAGTAAAGTTTTGTCCTAATAGCACATTAATAATTCTTGTTGGGAGAAGAGGCAATGTAAACAAAAATCAATTATTAAAATATATTGATTACCTCAACACTTTAAATGTACATAAAATTATCTTGTTTACATTGCCTTACACAGGGTTGGCCACAGGAGAATAAAATAAGATATGATTTAAATTTATTAATGAATAATTTGTCATGTAACAATAATTTTAAATTTGACATTTAATTGTAATAATTATACTAATAGCATTAATTTAATAGACATTAATAATTTAATTAAGAAATTTTTGACTACAGATAGGTATTAACTATTCAAATATAATTTAAGACAAAATATAGCAAATGTGCTATCATATTATTTATATATTAACTCAGCCAAGGACTTGGCTACCCAGACATCTGCTCCTATTGAGCAGCATAATGATGTGACATGCAATTTGGAATCCGTTCCAAGTAATTTAAATTAGAAAATGAGACAATAGAGGTATGATCCTCTAGCAGTTATAATAATTTAAATAATTTAGAATGTAGCTTACAAATCCTTAATAGTTGCAATTGTATAACTCCACAAAATGATAATAAAAATTGTTTACACCTGGTGCATCAGAATATACAAGGCATGATAGGCAAAGAGCTAGAAATTGAATTGTTCTTAAATAGCAACAATATTCATATTTTATGTATTACTGAACATTAGTTAAAAACTCATAATTTAATTTTTAACTTCAGTAATCACCAGGTGGTCAGTTCTTTCAATAGAGAAACGGTTTTAAGAGGTGGCTCCTTAATTTTAGTTAGTAAATTATTATCATGTAGAACGTAAAGATATTGTGAGCCTCTCTGTTGAGCGAACTGTAGAAATAGCATGTGTTGAGTTTGAGCACCTCATTGTTGTGAGCGTTTACAGACACCCATGTTCTTTATATGATACTTTTGAAAAAATTTTTGGAGGAAGTATTTGCTAAGCTTAATAAACAGAATAAATCTGTTGTAATATGTGGAGACTTTAATATCAATCTCCTAGAAGCTTCCTCCACCAATATTAAATTAAGATCATTGTTTAAATCTAATGGTCTTTTTAATTTATTTTTGGGACCAACGCATATTGCTGAATCTAGTGCAACATGTATAGATAACATTTTTACAAACGTTAAGCCGTTCAATAAATGTATTATTCAAAAATTGAGCTCTGATCACTGTGGACAATTAGTTTCGTTACCTTATGTTCACAAAAAGCAAGTAAATAAAAAAGTAGTGTTTGTTCCAGTAAATGCACGTCGCTTGGAGAAGTTTAGAAGTAACATAGTAAAAAAAACTTCCATCACTTTCATACCAAAATAATACAGATATTTTGTATGGAACATTATTTAAGCTTATTTGCAATGAATTTAATAATACTTTTACTTCTAAAACATTCTCCTTGAACAATCGCAAGGCATTTAATGAGTGGGCGACAGTAGGAGTCCATAAGAGTAGACAAAGGTTATATGAACTTTACAATGAAAGGTCATATAATCCTAGCGTCGAATTTAGGGAATATGTAAAAAAATATTCCAAAATATTTAAAAGAGTGTGTTACATAGCAAGTCATTGTATTTGAGCAACAAAATATCTTCTTCTTCTAATAAAATTAAAATGACATGGAGTAATTAATAGTGAAACTGGGAAGGTTAGCTCTCGCAATTCGAACTATCAGTTAAGTTTTAACAATAAATTAATTGAATCAGATCAGGACGTTGCAATGGTTTTCGAGAAATATTTTACTGATATTCCTATCGTAACCACTAAGTCACTGAATTCTTCTCCTGCCGTCGCCGAATCATTACTTAAACAAAATGTAAATGCGTGTACAAAGAATTTTACATTTCATAAAGTGTCATCAAAAGATATTCTAAAATATTTTAAGACTATTGATATTAAGAAAACCGCCGATCTGTGGGGGATTTCCGTTAAAGTTATTGCATCTATAATAGATGCAATCGCACCTCAACTATCTATTATTTTTAATACTAGTATCAAATCTGGTGTGCTTTCCTGATTTAATGAAGCATATTAAAGTAATACCTTTATTTAAATCTGGCAGTACATTGGACCCCGCTAATTTTAGACCTATTTCTATACTGCCAACACTTAATAAAATTTTTGAAAAAATTATTCTTGATCAAATGTTAAATTTTTTTAATGTAAATAATTTACTTCATAAAAATCAATTCGGTTTCACAATGTCGCTCAACAACTGATGCTGGTGTTGAGCTTATTAAATATATCTTTAATGCATGGGAGAATTCACAGGATGCTTTGGGTATATTCTGTGACCTATCCAAGGCCTTCGATTGTGTTCACCATGAAACATTAATCAGGAAACTTCAACACTACGGTGTAAGAAGTGATGCTCTTAAATTAATTATTTCATATTTAAGTGACAGAACGCAAAAAGTTGTAATTAATAGTATGAGTTCTTCCGGGTCGACTGTACAAATGGGCGTGCCTCAGGGCTCAATTCTCGGCCCCTTTATGTTTCTTGTATACATTAATGACTTACCTTACATAGTAGGGGATAACAATGATTTAGTATTATTTGCTGATGATACTTTATACTATATAATTAAAACGACAGTTATTAAATTACGACGAATTAAATAATGCTATAGCTAAGGTAGTCAATTGGTTTAATGTTAATAATTTGCATTTAAATGGAACTAAAACTAAATGTATGAAATTCGTAACTCCTAATGTCAAACATGTTAATACGAATGTAATTTTAAATGGGGAAGAACTGAGTCTTGTTGATACCACCATTTTTCTTAGAATCACACTATACGCAAAGCTTCAATGGCTCCCATATATCAAAACTAGCTAGGAGACTTAGTTCTGCAGCATATGCTGTAAAAAAAGATTAGAACTCTAACCAGTGTTTAAACAGCAAGAATAGTTTACTTTAGTTATTTCCATAGCATTACGTCGTATGGTATTTTGCTATGGGGACACGCGACTGACACTGAAATTATATTTATTTTACAGAAGAGAGCCATTAGAGCAATATATAATTTAAAACCAAAAGAGTCACTAGACAAAAATTTAAGGAAATTAATATAATAACTCTGGCCTCTCAATACATTTATGAAAATTTAATGTACGTACACAAGAATAAACGTAGTATTGCAAAAATAACTGATATTCATTCTGTAAATACTAGGAACAGACACAAGCTAGTAGTACCAGTAACTCGACTCCACCGAGTCAGTAATTCATTCTTGGGGCGATGTATACGCTTTTACAACAAAATCCCAGAAAATATACAAAATTTGTCATACGCAAAGTTCAAAAATTTTATTAAACTAAGTTTGTATAAAAAGGGTTATTATAATATTAAGGAATTGATGGATGATAATAACCCCTGGGAAGGGTGATCGCGTCCAAGCTATTTCTAATTTGTCTTGTTAATTGTAAACATGATTGTAAGTTATTATTTGAAAAAAAAAATAGTCCCGCTGGGTTTCTGCTGGTTCTTCCCAGGACAGAGGTTTTTTTTGCGAACCAGTGGTAAATGAAAAAAATTGACTTTCAATAAGTATTGTTTATAATCTACATTGAATAAAAAAGTTTCTGTTTCTGTTTCAATAACTTTAACAGAAACCCCCCACAGATCGGCGGCCAAACGTAAAGTAAATTAATCCACGTTTTAATTCATGCCAGGAATATTGCAGTAACTTGGTAACTACACATGCACGCATACACATAATAACCCACGAGAGCAAGCACACGCCCATATATTTTTTTTATAGAATAAGTGTGCCAACGAGCACACAGTCCATCTGATGGTAAGTGGATGCTGTGGCCCATAGACATCTACATTTATCTTCGATTAAGAAACAAAACGCAGATGCGATGTCAGTCCTGAAGACTAAGATGGAATGCCTAGTTTCCAAAAAAGGATCTCACCATACGAAACGCAACAGTACTAAGCTGCTCTTTTACGCTGGTATTCTGTGATAGCGTGGTCGGGCGAGCCGATCATTCGTGCTGCAGCTATAATATCAGAATATAGCTGCAGCATGGCTCTATCATACCATACATCTACATCACGCATATTTAGCACAAGAGGTTTTTTTTATATAGGATAGGGTGACAAACGACCACACAGTCCACCTGATGGTAAGTGGTTGCTGCGGCCCATAGACATCTACATCTATCCTCGATTACAAATCAAAATGCAGATGCGTTGGCACCCGTGAGGACTATGATGGAGTGCCTCGTTTCCAGTAAAAAGAGTCTCCGGTTCTCTACACTCACCATACGAAATACAGCAGCATACAAGCTCCTCTCTCACGCTGGTATTCTGTGAGAGCGTGGTCCTTCCCCGGTCGAGCCGACCCGTTCGTGCTACAACTATACTACTAATATAGCTGCAGTATGGCTCTACCACGTATAAAACGTTCCACGTTCCAAATGCAGAGTATACTAACGAGCCTGGCAGAGAGCGCGAGGCGCGGGTCGGTGAACTGCGTGGTGCGGTGGTTGTGGTCGACGAAGTAGGGGCGGCCGGAGGGCGCCAGGCGCATCTCCCAGCCGGGCGGCAGCGGGCCGGCGACCGGTGCGCGGTGCCGCAGCGCGGGCGGCACGCGCGGGTCGTGCCACGACGACGCGCCCGTCGCCGCATTGTAGAAGTACACCTGCCCCTGCGCCGTCGTGCGCATCTCTGCAACGCACACATGCCCCTTTCAAAATTAATAATTCCACTATTGAGACAGGCAAAGGTCATGGACCATACAGCCTAGTCTGATTTTTTTTTGTTGACAAAACTCTTGACAATATTAATGTATTATGGTTACGCGAACACTAGACATTTAAATGGCGCTCATTTTTACGGGTTTTATCGCGTACATTAACTTATTTTATATTCCCGATTTCGAGTACTTTACAACACCCATGGCCACGAGAGGACCGACGTATGGTCTACTATGGACGTATCTTTTATCTAGTTAGATTAGACTAATAACTAGATTCGTTTAAATCCTTACAATATGCGTCACATTGCAGTTCTTTTGAAATTTTGACGACTGCTTACCACAACGGATTGTTGACTATAATATCTCATAGCATTTAAGGTGAAACCTACGGACTGTTCCCAGCCATTCTCCCACAAGATGGCGCTGAAGTCAACATTTTTAGTTTATTTGGATTTTTGTGTAATTGGAAAATTATTAAGTCGCAGGAGTAGACTTAGCGGTTATCGGATACTACATTTTATTGGAATGGGTCATATCATTGCCTCAAAATCCACCCAATTCAACATTAATTTTGATTATAACATCTGTCATTGAATATAGTGTCGTATACACACACAGACGTATCCCTACGTTTACGAAGCTAGAACACTAGATGGCGTGTATGTAAAAAAAACAAGTTTTTAATTTTTGTGTATGTGCAGATTGGGTACGCAGAACTACAAAACGCTATGTACGATTGTTATAAAAATAAAATTTATATTTGTTGGCGTAAACTATTTAATTGATTTATAACTTTGGGAAATAAATTATGTCAACATTGATACAAAACCGATTATTACTTACACTATTGAATTTTTTATCAAAACAGAAGTACCTATTTGAAGCAACATAATTATACTGATACATGCCTATTCACTGAAAACTAATAACACTGATGATTTGTAACAGTACCAATTATTACAATAATTAGACATTTCATAACCAACACGTAAGTAAACTACAATTCATAAACAAGAGATAACAACAAATCTATAACAGAATTTATTTTGTGATAATAACCAGGAAGTTTGAAAATAATATTTCCTAATTTCGAAGCACTCAACAAAAGCTTTTAGTAAAACAAAAATATAAATCCTATACCTACGAGCAATTCTTGTATACATACATACATATATATATATATATATATATATATATATATATATATATATATATATATATATATATATATATATGGGTCCCACATATATGCACTAAATGAAACCATATACTTGTTATCGCCTTTGCTGACGATATACAAAAAATGAACGTAATCGGTCCAGTAATTAGGTCAAAAAGTAGAGTTTTAATTTTAAGCAAATTTGAACACTCTATAGAATTGGGTCACTAAGTCAATGATTCAATGAACTTGAATCCTTGAACATTGAAAAGCGACGTTGCCACGCAGTGCAAACTATTGGTATTGCGACATATCGACAGCGGTGTCTTTTGTCGGCGTGCCACCCGCGTGCAACGTTGTCACTCTTCCAAGGGGTCAAGGTACGTTGTCTAAACAGAGTGTTCACTTTTACTGAATTTATTTTAATATTTATTTTGTTTGAAAATTTCACTTTTTTATTTTACGGGTTTTAATTTAATATTTAATTTTTCTACACTTCTACGGACTAGTATTACTTGTGGTTTCATTTATTGCATATATGTGGGACCCATTCTGTATATATATATATAATCGGAATCTCGGAAACGGCTCCAACGATTTTCATAAAATATCGTTTTGTCCCCGTTTTTAGGCAATGAAAAACTGCTACAATATAAGAAGGTAATTTTTAACACTATAATAATGATCGTAATAGCTCAAGTGGATAACGCACCGTCGCGAAATCGTAGTTCCCTTGTTCGCGTCTTGTCTTAGGATTGACTTTTTTCTCTTTTTTTTCAAGTTCCCTTCTTTTGTGAGAAAATCTATTATTTCGAGCCCTTTTTGTAGTATTTTTTTAAAAATAAGAAAATTTTATTGCACTCATAAATTTCATTTCCGGTTCAGTTTTTTTTCTATTATGTCGGTAAGATCAAAAAATAAAAACATAAAAAACATAAACACTCACGCCTGTCACCCAGAGGGGTAGGCAGAGACTACAGACTTCCATTTCGATCCACATACCCCTTCCACACACGACGCATACATGCTCGTCGGTTAAGGGTAATCTTAATTTGGCCCATTTTTATCAAAAAATATTCTTCATATTTTATCAGTATGTATTTTTAATCTAAATATAACTTCCAAAACACACGATTTCCAAAAAAAAAAATACCGAGAAATGCTCGGTCATCCAGATACTCTACAATATAATATAAACAAATCTTCCATCAATTCTATATGAATAGGGTTGCGTTCGGAACAGAATATCTAGAACACTAAAATGTACAAAAATTAACTTATCTTTTTATTTCAATGTTATCTTTATATTCCTGGTAGAATTGGCCGACGAATAAGAAAAAATACAACTCAGATTAGAATAAGCTATTTATTTATAAACAATAAAAAGCACGGAACAGAAAAAAAGGATTTTATGTAACTGAATTATATTTGTTTTTGAATGCACCATAAGGTATGACGTAGTGACGAATGAACTTGAGCTCTACAAAATATAACAAACAATAATGTGTGTCTGTCTGAAACTGTTTGCAAAATGCGTAAAGAGTGTTTAATGTAACCCGGCAAAACCATATTTAGCAAATGTTTGCAAGTTTAATTTTGTGACTACTTTGGTAGTTTACCGATTTATAATAATTGTATTTATTGTTGACCAAAAACATATTCAAACACATTCATATATGAAACACTGACACGTATGACGTAGGTAATCAGTATTGTGACGATATTTTAGAAAAATCACGGGCCAGCCTGCTGTTAATAATACTACCGAAAACATAATTGCGTTTTTAGAATAATTAATTACTATACCTACGATAAATTACAATATAGCCTCAAATATATACTAGAGAAATATTGCAATTCGGATCAATGAAAACATACAAACAAAATATGTATAATACACAAGAAATTCCGCGCAAACATAGCGCGTGACAACCGAAATCAGAATATTATATTTTATAACAAGTCAAACAAGTGAACGTACGTAAGTTTGGCAACGCTTTTGTTTCGTCAATTCAAGGTCAGGAATACGTTAGTACCGTAGACTTCTCTGTCTACGGTTAGTACTCTTATCAGTTTGTTGTCAGGAAGGACGGCAACGTCGCTTTACCTACGACTTTTGGTACGCCCCACAACGATAGTAAGTAATAAAATTGTTTACAAAAAAACATAGGTGTCTAAGGTCATTAGTTTTACGTTATTTTATACTGTTTTTTTAACGGTTGGAAAGGAAATTAACCAATTATTGAACTTAAGATATTACAGAAAGATCACTTGGATGCCATCTAGCGTGCCAATGTTTCAACGTCGCCTTTCGTTTGCTTGTCAAAAGTCACGCACACTACTAAAGAAGTGTCAAATTTTTCCGGGATTTCACTATTGTTTTTCTCAGTATATAATGTAAGTTATTGCCTATAAAGGTCAGACGCGTACACATTTCATTGTAGAGAAGTGATAAAATGATTAGTTTTAAAGAAAGAGTGTCTGTGTTTAGGTGTATATTTTGGTTAAAAAATGTATGGGCGGACGGTCGACGCATTCACCTTAACAGGATAAAAATCCTTAAATTTATATCACCATTACAGTAATTTATTAGAAACGAATATTTCTACATATTTCTTATAATAAAAGATATATATCATCATCATCATCATCATTACAGCCCTTCACAAGTCCACAGCTGAACGTAGGCCTCCCCCAAGCAAGGCCACAAAGCAAGGTCCTGAGCCACCTGCATCCATCGACTTCCTGTATGTTTTACCAGGTCGTCACTCCATCTAGTGGGGGGTCGCCCTACACTACACCTACCGGTACGAGGCTGCCACTCGAGAACCCCATCTTCCCCATCGGTTATCGGTTCTTCGAGCTATATGGCCGGCCCATTGCCACTTCAGCTTACTAATCCGTTGGGCTATGTCGGTCACTCTGGTTTTACTGCGGATATCCTCATTTCTGAGTCTATCACGCAGAGAAACTCCGAGCATAGCCCTCTCCATAGCTCGCTGAGTGACCTTGAGCGTCCTCATACGGCCAGCAGTGAAGGACCACGTTTCGGATCCGTAAGTCATCACTGGCAACACGCACTGGTTGTACACTTTAGTTTTCAGAGATTGAGGTATACCTGACGAGAAGATGTGTCGTATTTTTCCCGAACGCTGCCCAGCCGAGTTGAATCCGTCGATTGACCTCTCAGTCGAAGTTGGACTTACCTAGTCGGACTATTTGTCCCAGGTAAACGTACTCGTCAACAACTTCGAGCATAGTGCTCCCAACAACTACCGGCATAAGTGTGACATGGACATTAAACATGATCTTTGTTTTGTCCATGTTCATCTTAAGACCTATCCATTGGGAGACACTATTGAGGTCATTGAGCATAGTGCTAAGGTCCTCCAGCGATTCTGCCATAAGGACTATATCGTCGGCAAATCGAAGGTGAGTGATGTACTCGCCATTGATGTTAATACCGTATCCTTTCCAGTCCAGTAGCTTGAAAACGTCTTCCAACGCAGCGGTGAAGAGTTTCGGGGATATAACGTCACCCTGCCTTACACCTCTCTGCAGTTGGATAGGTTTCGAACTCTGGTTCTGTACTCGGATAGCCATCGTAGCCCTACTGTACAAACACTTCAGCACTTCGATATACCGACAGTCAACTTAGCACCGCTGAAGGGACTGTAGCACCGCCCAAATTTCGACGGAATCAAAGGCTTTCTCATAGTCCACATACGCCAGGGAAAGTGGCAGATTGTACTCTTCGGTCTTCTGTAGAATCTGCCTCAGTGTATGTATGTGGTCTATGGTACTGAAGCCTTTTCGGAAACCGGCTTGTTCGGGAGGCTGGAAGTCGTCGAGTCTGCGTGCGAGACGATTCGTAATGACTCTCGAAAACAGCACGTAGACGCGGCTCAGAAGGGAAATCGGTCTGTAGTTCTTCAAGAGAGCGTTATCGCCTCTGAACTTCTGCTCCACGCCTCCGGAGTAGTGCCACCTTGGAGAACGGAATTGAAGAGCTTCTGAAGGACTTCAAGTACCGGTGTTCCACCCGCTTTCAAAAGCTCCGCTGTAATTCCATCCTCGCCTGGGGCCCTGCCGTTTTTAAGGTGCTGGAGAGCCATTCTAATCTCACTCAGACTGACGTCCGGGATATCTTCGGAATAGTGTCGGGTAAGACTTGCTCTTGGATCGTTACTTACACTTGCGTGTGGCTTCAACGATGATGTGTACAGCTGCCCATAGAACCTCTCAATCTCACTCAAAATCTCAGGTGTCCCGGAAACGATGCTGCCACACTCAGTCTTCAGCTTTGACAGCTGGCTCTTTCTGGCAGACAGATCTCTGGCAAAGACTTTGGAGCCCTGGTTCCGCTCGATCGCTTTTTCAATACGAGCAGTATTAAAGTTGCGTAAGTGTCGCCGCATGCATTTGGAGATCTGTCTGTTCAGTTGCCTGTATGCTGTCAAATCTGTTGACGATTGCAGCCTCATCTCCCGTCTAACAGCCATGAGATTAAGAGTGTGATCGGAGAGTTTTGTGTTCTTCTGCGGCGGGTCTTGCAGAACTTAGCTCCGACCGCATGGACAGTTTCCACGAGCTTGTCATTCATATCGTCCACTGCATTGCAATCTTCTAGGCACTGAAAGCGGTTACGTAACTCGAGCTGAAAGGTCTCGGGATTCTGGATTAGAGCACGAGGGGGGACGGAGCGTTGACCTCATTAGACGAGACCTCTCCAACTTAACGTTTAGGTTCAGTATGCCTCCAACCATTCGGTGATCGCTGCCGGTTTTCACCCTTGCGATCACTGAGACATCACTGAACAGTTGGCGTCTGGTCGTCATAATGAAGTCAATCTCATTTTTTGTCGAACCGTCGGGGCTCGACCAGGTCCACTTCCTGTGGGGCCGCTTCTGTAAGAAAGAGTTCATCATAAAGAGTCCCTCTTTCTCCATAAAGTCGGCCAGCTGCTGGCCCCTACGGTTCCGTTGCCCTACTCCAAATTTCCCTAACTTCAGCTCACCGCCTTCTCTTGTGCCTAGTTTTGCGTTGATATCTCCCATCAACACCGTGTAGTGGGTTTTGGAGGAATACATGGCTCTGGAAATATCCTCATACATTTCCTCCACCTCCTTATACTACCTCCACCACCACCTTATAATAAAAGATAGTCAGGTTATAATGTTTACCTCAGATTTAAATTTATAATATGCATTTTCATCATACAATGGTTTCAAAGAAAATAGAAAAAAAAATCTACTACAATTGACTGGCTTCACGGGCGGCGACAGCTTCTTTTCGCAACTATATAGTTGTTCAAGCGTTGATTGATGTATGATTGATATATGTATTCACACAATCAATCTGATACTAAAATAAATTAAATTTTCAATCATTTGGGCAATTAGTATGTTGTCAGTATGACTAGACTGATGGCAAGATGAGGGAGTAACCTAGCGTTACTCTTACATCCTATCAAAGCCCACTGCTGAACATAGGCCTTTCCCATAGACTTCCTCATAGGGGGGATATTCACCATAGTTAACACGCTTAACAGGCGGGTTGGCAACCTCAGCTCTTTATTTTTAGTTGTTATTAGCTGTTCCCGCGACTACTCCCGCGTGTAATTTATTACGATTGTATTTTATGGGTTTTAAATGTTTTACGCCGAACCCTACTTCTTTTTCTAAAACTTTACTAAAAAGGTAGCCTAAGTTACTCCTTAAAATATCAGCTATTTGCCAGTGAAAGTCCCGTCAAAATCGATCCAGCCGTTTCGGAGATTAGCCAAAACAAATAATAATAATAATAAATAGACAGACAGACAGACAAAAATGTTAGCAATTGTGTTTTGTTATAAGTATTGTATATACTTTCATATGCATTTAGTAAAAAGCTGTTATTTTAACATTACAAACAGACATCAATTTTTTAGTTTATTTGCATAGATTAGGAAGACCCTTCTGCCTATTTCCTGTTTTGTTTCCAATAAGATTTGAGCACTGATTTTGAATTTCTAAACCACTTAGCTGTTTTTAAATAGATTTACTTAACTAAAACATTCTTCAGATAATTTATTTTACCATAACCGGGTGGCAGATCCGTGGCAGCTATAGGTATAGTCGGAGACATATTGGTCGGACTGGCTGGTGAAGCAGGGTTAGGTGGTTGACGTGAGCGCACTGCAGTTTGAGGTTGTGGTTCAGGTCTGAAAACAAATGATTACAATGTGCTAAATGAAATTATATTTACAAACTTCATCACTTATTTTGGGTATTGGTCAATATCCAAAATAAGTGTTCAATAATAGCTATCTTAGTACTGTAAAATGTGTTGACTGTGTTATCAATAATGATTATTGTAAAATCTACAAAGAATACATACTCAATAAGTAAATTAAACATCTGAAATGTGGTTCGAATCTCAATTGAGGTTGAGGCCGACACATAGAGACACGAGTTTCAAATGTTTAGCATAAACTATACTAATTATACAAATTGGATGACGGCTTCATGGCACAGTGGCTTAGCAACTTGTTGCAGCACTGAATTTCCCTACACATAACTTTCTGTATTTGGCCTACACATAACTGTATCTGGTCTAGATGTTTGTCCTTGTGAAATTTATGTAACTACCACCACAATACAGAAGAAAATTCTAGAGTGGGGCAGTTTTGTTAAGATTTTTTTTGACATTATGGAGTTCGAGTTTAAGCCCGACATTTATATAATAATCTTAAGAGACAGTAGCTAACTTCTCTACTCTCTCAAATGTATCAAAGCAAAAAGTTGCCCACTTTGAATTAAATTGTTTTTAATTAATCACCTTCCCACTGCTAAACATAGGCCTCCCCCAAGAAATGCTGTAAAGCATGGTCCTGAGTTTCTGCATCTCTAACCAGCTAGCGGAGAACACCCCCAACACTTCACTTACTGCGGTACATGGCTGCCCCTAGAGAAAGTATCTGTGTGTAATGCACCGAAGCCTAAATTGTGCTATTAAAATTCCGAAGTATTGCGGTATATAAAAAATAGCTTCCAAACTATCACATGGAGCATTGGCCACTCCCCAGGCCCTTACCCAGCGGGAGATCTCCCCATTTTCTTCCATGGCCAAATATCTACCCTATTGGTTGTCGGTTCTTTGACCTATATGGCCAAGCCATGCATACAAAAGTTTTTTTTTTACATTTTAATATGTAATTGAACTTATGACCCTCCTAGTTATATGTATATAATATTATAGGCTTAAGGAAATTTTGGAATATTGCAGTTAAGAAATATGTGCATAAGACTGACCCAGAAACAAAAGGATCTAAAGTGATATCATAATCTACTGTAGATATGTATCAACATCAAAGTCTTATTTTCAGACTCACCTCAAAGAAATTGATGTTGCAAGTGTAACATCTGTTTCAGAAACAGGCGATGACGGTGATGACTGAGATGCAGTGGAAGAGGGGGTTATAGGAGAAGTAGGAGAAGCTGGTATTGGTGGGGAAGGTGAACTTGGCTGAGGGGGGACTGGGCTTAAATCTTCTGAAGTTGGTCGCTCCCACTGGGTTCTTCTGAGTGCATGGTTAACATAATATGGCCTGAAATGATTCAGTGTTTTGAGCTAGATTGCAGTTTTAAGTTATATTAGTTTACATAACTTTTATAAATATCTTGTAATATTAAAAAATATTATGACTATGAAATGAACCTGCAGTAAAAAAGTAAAGTTTAAGATTGGCCAACTTTCAAGACCAACATCCCATCTAGAAGTTGTAGTAATGGGTGCAATTTTTAGGAATCCAATTTCGAAACCAGCATCATTTAGAGAACATCAGCACTTCATTCATATACAAAAAAAAATATTACACAATATTTATAATAATGAAAACAAAACTCATTCCTATTCCATGCCATATAGTGCCAAAATCAGTTTATTCATTCTCATCACTAAACAATGTCAATTCAGTGCGCGTGCCGCAGGCTTAGACCGATAGTCTTATTTAGCTTATGCCACAAATATACAGTTATCTCTCAGAGACTGCTCTATTAGCTATCCGAAATGAAAGGCTGCGAAATTGCCTATGTAAGTAGCATCCCACACAAGAACTTTACCTTGCTTACAAGGGGCTAAAGTCGTACAGTCAGCTTTCCTGCCATCATCCATAAACATTCCACAAATCTCTAAAACCGAAGTAATATTTATATAAATGTTCAGTTAATGTCAAGTTGATAAATTGCTTCTTTGAGAAGTCCTTTGTCTATGGACTTTTGTCGTCAAGCAATGTGTCAAGATTGCTATCTTAAATGTTATAGCAGAGCCAATGCAACTGGAGATTAAATTGCTTGATTAAAACATATAAAGATGGGTTTAATATTGGTCATTGTAATTATATCATATCAATGAATCAAATCTTTCTGTACACGCCTTTTTGAAAATATTTCCCCCACTCTGGGATTTTCTCCTGTATCATGGAGGTAGTTTATGTACATTCATTGCATAAGGACAAACATCCAGTCCGAACAATTATTTGTAGGCCATACAAATACTTATCCCATGAGATTCAACTTACGGCTATTAACCCCGAAACTCAATACTAAGCTACTTTGTCGTGGACGTGTCAAACTTCAGTAACTCGGTATATTCCAACATTTCTGTTCTCTGTTCTGAGATATTATGTTTTGTCCCTGCAGCAAAGCATGGGTTTACTTAATTATTTAGGATTTCAAAAGAAAAAGAAGAGCGAAAAGTAATTAAATAGTGATTCTAGCCTAATTTAACTGTTTTGAAAGATATCATTCCTTAGTTGGTGATTCTCTAATCTAAACCAATTTCAATAACCTTCCTTTTTATCACCTTTATAAAATCAGCAAGATATACATTTTTTCAACATTTGTTCCAATTTTTAATTGGTGTATAAGATATTCTATAGCCTGTGCCCAGCTGTAGAACATTTGAAGGTTTTCCTACGAAGAAAACATCTTTAAAAAATATTATTACCTGCCACTTGATGTGAATCTCTCTTCCCAGTGTGGTGGTAATGGTAAATGGGATGTATTTGTATTAAGTGGGGGATCTCTTGGTGCACGCACTTCTCCCGCTGGTCCAACCACTGCTAAAGGAGAACCCTCTCCAGCAGCAGAAGCTGGTTCTCCTCTTGTTCCATCTCGTGAAAGGAGGGATATAATAACTTGACCTCGAACACCACAAGCCTCACCCAGGTTGTCTTCACATAATTCCAAACATTGATCTAAAAGTCCAAAAATAAAGAATTATAATAAGTTATCACCTCAAACTTTTTTCCAGCAAAATTTTATAGTTAAATCAAAATGGTTCACCTCAAGAATAAAACTTTTATCTTTATTCTTTCTAAAAAAAAAATTGACATCATTACATAAACAAAACTACACTGTCCAAAAAGATTTAAGTTTAAAATCTTTAGTAGTTAATTAATATAAAACATCTCCAATTGTTTCAGCACAATCTATTTACAAAGATTTGATGAACATAATTGAGCTTTTAATAAAAAGTAAAAACAGATCTAAATACATAATAGCTTCTCAAGTTGGTGCTAAGACAGTGTATTGAAGAATAGAAGCCCAAGACTCAAAAGCTTATGTGAAAATTATTTTAATATTTTTAGCTTTTGGTGTCGGATTTTCATTTTTTATTAAGTTTAATATTTTAACCCTTTTGAGTTGTTTTTATAGAATAAGGGTGACAAGCAAGCACTTAGTCCACCTTATGGTAAGTTGATGCTGCGGCCCATAGCCCATAGATCAAGGCTCAAGAATCAAAATACAGATACATTGTCACCTCTGAGGACTAAGATGAAATTCCTCATATCCATTAAAAAGGTTCTCGGGTTATCTACACTCATTATATGAAACACAGCAGCATTAAGCTGCTATTTTACACTGGTATTCTGTGAGAACGTGGTCCTACTCCGGACAAGCCGATCCATTCATGCTACAACCATAATGTAGCTTCAGAGTGGCTCTACCACATAAAAATATCCTAGCACAAAGTAACAGCTACGATATCGTCCAAATAGTTATATAAAAATCTTTATTTATTAATTTATTTAACACCCCTCACTCCCCTTAAAATTCTCATGTAGTCGCGTACGCCCAAGTGGCCGCATGCGACGGCACCCACCCGCAGCACTTAAAAACATTAAAACTTATATTTCATCATCATCATCATCATTACAGCCCTTCACAAGTCCACTGCTGAACATAGGCCTCCCCCAAGTAATGCCACAAAGGACGTTCCTGAGCCATCTGCATCCATCGACTTCTTGCATGTCTTACTAGGTCGTCACTCCATCTAGTGGGGGGTCGCCCTACACTACGCCTACCGGTACGAGGCTGCCACTCGAGAACCTTTTTCCCCATTGGTTATCGGTTCTTTGAGCTATATGGTCGGCCCAATGCCACTTCAGCTTACTAATCCGTTTGGTTATGTCGGTCACTCTGGTTTTACTGCGGATATCCTCATTTCTGAGTCTATCACGCAGAGAAACTCCGAGCATAGCCCTCTCCATAGCTCGCTGAGCAACCTTGAGCGTCCTCATACGGCCAGCAGTGAAATAAATAATAACATCAATCTGTTTTTTCTTGTCCATAGACTTAATCAGTTCTTCGGTGAAGCACACTAAGTTTGTCGAAGTCGATCTACCGCCCGTAAATCCGTGTTGTTGGTCCGTTAAAATTTTTTTGAAATAATTTTCAATTAGGGGTGTAATCGATGACTCCATGACTTTACCCATTTGAGGATAGATTTTATAATGCAAAACTTCTTCATAGAAAAGTAGTCTCTAAATAAAGTTTTAATGGTTTAAAGTGCTGTGGGTGTGCGCGGTCGAATTCGACCGCTTAGGGGTTGAAGGGTTAATATTCTTTATTGCACATCATACAATATATATATATATATATATATATATATATATATATATATATATATATATGTTTCAGTCGGTCTAGCGAGTGTCTAGCGAGTGCACGTTTAAATTTGATTTAATCCCCCCGCACCGCGCGCCGTGCCGATATTCAACACAAGCGGCGTTTGTGTGTGCGGAGTGTGTTTTACGGCGCCTCTACACGTTGGCCAATACAGTGGCGAATGTAGTGGCCAATAGCATTGGCTAACGTGTAGACGGGGTGTTTGGGCTTCATTGGTATGTATTGGAACGATGGCCCGCAAGTTGGCGCGAGATCCGTGTAGTGTCGGTTTTTTACAAAAGATCAAAGGATTGTTGGCAGAGTTTGGTCGCCGCTTCCACACGTTGGCCGCGAATTTAGTTTGCTACAAGCTCCCAGAGTGATTACACGCATCTGATTAAAATTTTATATTCACGCTTTGTAGGGTGGATGACCCAATTACCAGCCTTTTAGTGCCAATTTCCACTTTAAACATTCCTACTACTTTAATTAGCGCGATTTAATTATTTTTAAACATTTGTTTTAATCGATAAGCTATTTATAAAAAAAAATAATGAACATTTATTTACAATCAGATTATTACGAGAACAATTTTAAAATGAAAAAAAAAATGAAGCACGTCGTTTATACGTGGTAAACGACGTGACATGTTATACGGCCAATATATTCGCCACTCCATTCGCCACTGTGTTGGCCAACGTGTAGAGGCGACATTAGTTTGTAATTATGTCTTACACAAACGTACAGTGGACCGAAATGGTCCGACTTTATGCCGTAGCTAGTGACAATGTGAACGAGGCTCGACGAATGTACGCAGAACTATTCCCTGGACAACCTGTGCCAAATCGTGAAACTTTGTTGGCGGCCACGCAAAGGTTACGTAGCTATGGACAGTTTACCGTGCCCGTTCATGCTCAGGGGCGTGGCAACCAGCAGCTGCCAGTTACCCTTCATGAACGTATCTTGGATTTCTTCGCGGAGAACCCAGAGGGGAGTACCAGGCGGGCGGCCTGTATTTTCGGTGTTTCTCACTGGACAATTTGGAAAATTCTACACATTGATCGTCAACATACGTATCATTTTCAGCCGGTTCGACCACATACTGCGGGTGGTATTTTCGCAATGGCTTATTCAAAACTTTGATAACGTTTCCATTTTATTTACGAACGAAGCAGTGTTTACAAGGTCGGGCATTTACAATGTTCGTAATGAACATTACTGGAGTCGGGTAAACGAACACGGAATACGGCAAAACAGTTATCAGCACCTTTTATCTATGAGGAGAAGTGAAGCGCCGAGTGTATGCAACTAAGTTCCGTAATACGTCCGAACTCAAAAGGCGAATTCTTAGTGTGTTTAGAGAAATGACACTGTTGTGCTTCTAGCTTTTACAATTAATGTAAAAGCTGATCAAAATGGGATTCATTTACGAGGATTTTATTTAATAGATAAGTGTAAATAATCAATCAATCAGGCTACACATCAAGCTATACAAAACCAGTTTTTCTTGGCCTCGCTTTGTATGATTTTTCCGTACAATGAACGGTCAGCTTATGCTTCAAATGCCCTTTGCGTTCCAGGACCGCGGTATCTTGCTAAGAGAGTCCCGGGACCCCGGTTCCTTGATTGGACGGCGAGCTACCCATTGGTTTTGCATAACTTGTGTAGCCATGTGTACATAACATTATGATTAACCTTTTAAATACGCCAAAAATCCTACCTAAAGATTTACTATTATTAATGTTTAATTTTCTTTGTTGTTAAATCTAACTTACATTAATTTGGACTCGTCACGCAACACAAAGGGTAGGAATTTTTATCTGTCCTAAGCCAGTGTGAAAGTATGAAGGAAAAGTTACATCATAGGTTATGTGTACCATTGTGTTTTTATTGAAATGTTGTGTAGGTAGCAGTGATTACGTCACTCGAGCGCATAGGGTATCCATGAATTTACGGATGGTGTCGGACAGAAACTTTTTTAATTTTATGAAAGAAAATAGCGTTTTTTTTTTAAAAATCGGATAAATATTTTTATATTAAAGCCCTTTAGCACTGTATATATATATATATATATATACATAGGCTGGCAGTGCCAGCTGTCATTTAACAAAGGCCTTTTGTGTTTGCGTATATGCTATGTTCAAACAACAATAATTCTTAAAGTAATAAATACAGCTGTAAACTTTATGTTGTATTCTAGATTAACTCAAAATCTGTCGATCTAGTATAAAAATAAGAAGGCTAAACGGGGTTGTTTTTGCAGTAATTTACAATAATTTGCCGATTAGCATATTTTTTTGATATTTATTTGAAGTTAAATTTTTTTTCTTCAAAGTTACAAGTATGTCAACAAAAATTTTGATAATGTAAACGATAAACAATATTATTGGCCTCCGAATGAGTTAATTTTTATCTCAGTAAGACTAAAACTTTCAGAGATATGACTTTTTTCGTAAACGCGTAGAGAATATCTCAAGAGAAAAACAAAATGGCTGCCAAATAGAGGGGGGAGGGGATTAGACCTCAGTGTGTAGTGTATTTTTATATTAAAATAGCTGTATTATAAGTACCTAAAATATCGCTAGTCCGTGACCGGACACACTGTATATATATATATCGCACCTTCATTTTGAAACCGTTACTAAACGAAACTTTCACGAAATTGAGATAATAACGCCATCTTACTTATAACAGCAAAATCTACAGAATTAATTTGACAGGTCTATTTAGTTTCCCAATATTTTGATAGATGGCGTTAAATTAAAACGCTATTAAACTGAACTTTAAAACATAAATACAGACGAAACCGTTACTATACCCGTTGTCACCTGTCACTTAAGGAGTCGACATACAGTTTTATAAAAAAAGTGTAACTATTTGTTTAACTACGGCTGATTTTGTCATTAAGGTAAATAATTTACTTATTTATATTTGATAAAGTGTGGTTTTTGGTTTAGCCACAGTTTTTAACTTAGAGTGTATACTTTGATTCTTCAAATTTTGTACGATAAACTGTTACTTTTTGGATAATCTGTTTACCTTACATTCTGGATAAAATTATGACATTAATATTTAGCATAAAATAGTGATTATTTGCTTAGTAGAATTTTTGAGTAAACAAAGTGTAGAGTTTATTGTTTTGATTATTACAAAAGGGTGATTTTTAGGTTAGATGCAGTTTTCTATTTAACGCGGTGACAATTAGCATTAGGTGGCTGTGCGTTATCTGTCAGTCAGTCTCTAGAATTTTATTATGAAGATAACAATATTATTATATTATATATAATATTTATTAGAATAATAATAA